GACTCCAGCTGTGTTCAAGGTCACCCAGCTGTGTAAACAATAACTCATCGGTGTTATATTTCACAGAAAGACCAGACAAAGGAAATTAAAGTTTGAAGCTTTTTCTTCAAAATTAACGCATTTTTTTCGTTTTTTTTCAGTTTAAAGTATTTTTTATGTTTAATTAAACATTAGCATTAAAAATTACGGTGTACGCTCCGGCGTATTTTTACGCCGGTGGTAAAGAAAGGGTTAGAATCAGTTCTGATTAACTCACTTAACCCATGATCACAAAGTTTTTTACAGGATCAATTGTACAAGGTGGCAATTTTCCACTGTTTTTCAAGCATAAGTGATCTGCATGTACTGTACTTGCTGCTGTTCAAATTTGACAATTCTGAAAAATCCTGTAATGTATCTTTTCTGTACATGCCAAATTTCAATGAGATATTTTGTTTATAGAACAATGTCCTTGACTGAGCTCCTATAGAGGCTTTCAAAGTTTGCAATAGTGTGGGCTAATGTCCATCAAGTTCAGTTGAAAATAAATGACAGGAATGCTAGGCACTGAAGGTCCAAAAATGATTTTTCTATATTTCAGGCATGAAATAAAATCCGTAACCATTTAAATAGTCTGGGGTGATACGACCTTTAACTATCTTGGAGACAATTGCTCAAGGTGTACCAGCAGTATCAACTTGGAGATCATATAGGTCATATTGTGCATAGCTGACAAACATGACATCATGTTGACCTCTTGCAGAAATTGAGAGACCTCCATGACATCAGTGTGAAAAACCTCTGCATTATGCATGCAGTTCTGTGACAATAAGGAAAAATTGACATCACGTGTAAGATGGCAATTTTTTGCATCAGTTTTTTGAGAGCCTTATGGTAAGCAGAAACTTTTTTGATCAAACTTTTTAGTCAGTTGGATAGCATGTAGCATGAGGTTATCATGGAAGCACAGTTAAGTAACTCAATTTGGCAACGCACAAAAAACTAATATGTGCAAAAAATTGCCACTACCAAATATGGTTGTGGGTTAAGAGGCAATTTGATGGTACTAACATCCATATTTATAACCAAGGATCAAGAGTTATCATTAGAAGTTAACCCATTATCACCATTCATTTTACTTTTGATCCTGAAAATAAAATCCATCTGCATATAATAGCCTGGTGTAAAACCAGATCCTACTCTATATTTGCCTGCAAGATATATAATGTTTTTATACTTTTAACTATATCTAATTTATTTATAAATTATAAATAATTCTGATCATATTAAACAGATTTTTATCTGGAATCAAAAAATTTGACATCCAATCTCAAAAACTAAAATAATTTAAGATTTTGTCAGTTAAAAGTAACATTATACAAATGTTGTTGAAACCCTAAAACTTCTTGAATGTTTTTTTTTGTTCATATAAAATTTGAACAATGAAATATATCCTTTTAATTTTAACAATATGTTTATAAAATATCTTTCTAATCTTCATACTGATTAGTATTGTATTAATAGAGCATCTTTAAAATCACAGCCATATGGCTGAGTGGGAAAGGTGTCAAGTCTGCCTCTCTGAAAAACCTTGAACTGAATCCAGGCAGGCAGCCCCAGGAATTGATCAGCAGACCCCACTACCTTGCCATGTCCATTGCAGACTTGGCCAAACTCATGAAGGGTATGATTGATTGATTAAAAAGATCCCTCAGTGCCTGAAGGGAAGAGAGAATCAAAAATGAAAAATAAAAATACAATAACTATTTGTACAGTTTGATAAATCATCTTTAATTTCAATGTTCTTTGAATAAATTTCAAATGCTTTTGTTTCTAAGCTTCATCCTTAAATGTAACATTTACATAGCACTAAATTAAGATTTTTTTAAATTAAAAATTCTTGTCTATTCTTGGGTATTAAAATTTGATAAAAACTAATACTAGATCAGGCTAGATATTTATATGAGAAAGTATGTTTTTGTAAAACTCAACAATAAAACTTTTCCAAGATCATATTAACAACAGATACTTTAAATATTTAATTTAGTATTAAAAAAAATATCTGAAACAGTTTTCTTAATCACCAAATTTTATTCTTATCATCTGCTAAATGCTGAAAGTTGTAATGAAAAATAATTTTAGACCAAACATATAAAGAAATATTTGATACATTTTAATTTTAATTCAAAATTCTGTTAAACTGTACTTAAACTGTAGGCTAAATCGACATTTAAACTTTTTATTATTTTTATGATATATAATGCAAAATCAGTACTAAATATATTAATCAATGGATGAAATGTTAGAAATCATACTTCAGATGTGTAATTTTTCATTATTATTTCAACCAAACTTAAAATTTATCAAATATTTATTTAAATCAAGTGCTAAATGATCAATCTCAGTAGTTATGACTTATACAAATGAATTTTCATTTATAAAAGCAAAGTCATGCTCAAAACAGAGTAGTCAACAATTTTATGTTTCGGATTAATCTCTAACAACATTGATGTCTTCAAAGATTAAATCAGTTCTTGAAGGATAGACAACTTTTAAATTTCCATCTTCATCTACAACTCTCATCTGTTCAATAATTAAGGATTTTAAATTTGAACTTTCGTTTTCAATTTCTGTGCTACCATTCACGTCAAGCTTTTTATTTCCCAAACCTAACTTTAAAGTTTCATATAATAAACTATCCATCACCTTTTTGCATGCTGGGAGGCTATTACCAGTTACTTCAAAAAACATATCTGATGTTTCTTCAGATATCTATAAGAAAAACAAATCATATGCCTTACATCTCATAATAAGTTACTATTGAAAAAATAAAAACCTATAAAAGAAATATAATTAAATTTGTTAACTAAATATTTTTTAAATTTATAAATATCTATTTGAATGGAAATGCATTAGAAATTTTTATATGGATCTAATCTAGTCCAGATTAAAATGAAAATCTAGACAATCCAAAATTTTGAAAAATTGACTATTGCAGATAAATAGATTTTCAGAGTAATATAAATAACACATTACATATTTTATCAATAAAATCTTAATGTATATAAAAAATTATGCATTAAACAAAATAATATTCCGTTTTTCATGTTCCAAACTAAGTGTTATTCATTCAGTTTGAATTACCTCAAAATTAAAATGTTTACAAATTATTTTAAACTTTTTTTTAACTACCAATTTTATTTGAATAATAACCACTTTTGAACAGTAGTAGCTGCATGTCATTCTTTGATGGGGACTGGGGAATATCTATTTGAGGACTTCTGATAACTTATGAAAACAATGAAAAATTAAATGAAATTAAGATTTATGTAAAATGTAAAGTAGGATTGGATTGATGAAATAAGGTAATGCAACATAGACAATTTGCTATGGGAATCCAGCTCTATTTAGGTGTTACCAAAAAAACTAGAAAGCTCCACAAAGCCAGCCTGCTTATCAATGCAAACCTGGGACCAACTAAGCAGTCAGTGATTTTATCCACTTGGCTACTAGTGAGCAATACATGTATTTTTTTTAAAAACTGTTTCCTTATTACTGGTACAGAGAAATTAACATATTACACACAAAGATACCAGTTGCCACTTCAAGTACAATTTGCTTTAAAAATCAAATTTTCATAAATGTTTCAATAGTTTATTAATAATGAAAATCAAATGGATATGTACTGTACAAAAGAAATAACTGTTATTTAACAGTAACCACAAGAAAAATATTCAGTTTAAAACAGCAACAGTTGTTATTCAAATAAAACTGGTAAAAGTTCCTTATTTTTTTACACTTCAGTCTAATTTCATTAAGTTTGGATCTGACAATGATATATACAGTACATTTGTAAAATCGAAAGAGTTAAATGAGAATGATGTCATTGTTATTCTTATTTTGTTATAAATGAATCGGTCGAAAAGTCTAACGAAATGGCTGTTTCTACAATCAAAAATATGAATGTTGCTAGTGCAGCCTTATCCAAAATATTTTTCTTAGATAGAAATAACTGTCCACCCGAAGTAATCATTTCCCCTTTCAATTCACAATTTAAACACTTGAGTAGATTTAGAAATATTGATATTGCTGGGCATCATTTTCTTAACAAAGTAAACTAACTGTTTCCTTCGTAAACTTTGTTAGAATTTTATTCAAAATGTCATCACCACAGAGCATGCACACTGAGCAAGACAGCAACAAGTTCTTCAAGAAGTAGTAAATGCATTTAACTCGTTTGACTTTATGAACATACCCGTAGATAAATCTCAAGAACACCTGTCTCCTTAAAAATTATTAGCATTCTCTCTTTTGGATCAGAATTATACACACAAGGAATAAAATTTCATTATTATATTGATACTGTAACAATTTGTAAGTGAAGTTGTTGCCACTGAATTGAAGCTTTCATTTCATGAAAAAACTAACAATGTCCAATATTTGAACTTATAAAAAAATTAATGTGCTTTTAAATTTTATTTAATTATCTGGATCCAGAAAAATTGTGGGATAGTCACAATTTGGATTAATGAATTTCTAGTGAACGTCAATAAGATAGAATAGAAGTTCAACTTTTTCTAGTCCACATACTTCTAAACATCCATAAATTGAAAATAGTTTTAAAAATATTGTCATATGGTTTCAACAGTTTCCCATAATCATTGATTTTTAATTACTAATTTGCAATTTAAAGTACTATGACACCTATTTTAGTAATATAGATACAAAGTTACTTGATCGAAGTGATATAAGTAACTGAAGTTGACTCTTCAGAAATATTTAAAATGTAAAGTTTTTAAAACAATTAGCAGCTTTTACGGATTTAGCTATGTAGTATTTGTTAGATCCGAGTATAAACTTAAAAAATTGCTGATTTATAGTTACATTTGGCAGCTATAAACAGCAATTTTTTGTAAAAATGACACTTCATCTGATAAAATAACCAACCATTCAAATACAATTTCATTTGTACAGGGTAGAATCAAAAATAAATTGAACTTTTATTGTATTAATAATACCAGTATTTATAGAAGTCCATCTTCAAAATAAGCATCTTCAGCATCTACACACTAATGAGACCAATATTCATGTCATTTATTGAAATAATCTTGCTGTCCATTCTGCATTACAGTAGAGCATTGATTATCCGAATACGATCAACCAAAACATCGGTTAACCGAAAGCATTCCAGTTGGAAAATTCAAATTTCCGCTAGTGCTGTGGTGCTGCAATATTTGGCTATGTCTTGGGCTACTCCAATATTATTTTTGTTGGTGTGCATGTTTTAGCTGGCAGCACCATGAGAGGGTACTTAAGGACACACCAGTATTTGAACAAGGCTTTTTTCCCCATTGTGAGTGGTGAGTTTGCTTGTTTTGTGTGGTGTTTTTCTGAGGACTGTGTGTTGTACTGAACCAGAACATTTATGATACTAGATTAACTTCCAAAATATATATTTTTTTGGTTTTATATTTTTCAATATATTTATTTTGTTTGTGCAAAATAAAGAAATAATTTTTAATGATACAATAGCCACGATTATTATTTTAAAAAATTTTTTGTTAGGCTTAACATCAATGAAAATTCAATGCAAAGCAACACATAATGGAGAAAAATTTCAACATGGGATAGGTTAATATATTTTTTCGTATCTGATCAGTTAGTTATCCAAACAATCTCAGTCCCGAATTGTTTCGGATAATTGATTCTACTGTATCTCTCTTAATTAATGCAATTATTTCAGCACTTGTTTGATGTGAAAGGTCTGGTGAGTACATTAAGAGTTTGTACCTTATATTAGACTAAAAGAAGTGATAACTGACATTTTTAGTTGCCTCAGTAATAGAGTAAGATGCAAGTTGCCTTATCTTGGACAAGCAAAAAGCTGGATTCTCCATTATGACAATCCCTTAGTGAATATCTAGCAAAACAGCAGATAATACATAATTGGCCAAAAGACTGTTTTAACAATGATAAAAATCTTAGCAGAAATGTGTAGCTTCAGATGTTTATTTTGAAAGTGTCTTCTGTAAATACTTTTAGAATTAATATAATAAAAATTATATTAAGAGTAATTGATTTTTGACTACTAATCTTTGTCTTTTAACAAATTATTAATTTTATAATTTTGAAGAATTGGTAATTAATTTTCTAATTAAAATGTATTTATTCTTATTTTAATATANTGATGTTTCTTCGTTTACCTTTGTCCCACTGCAATTCGTAATAGGAGGAAATGAGATAACCTGCCCACTTTCATCCAATAAAAATGGATAAGTTGATTTATCTTTCAGAAGATACAAATACCTAAAACATAATTTAAACAAATTATTTCTGTCTTTACATTTCTAATATGTTTTTAATCATATTCAACTTTTAACTGATTTATTTATTTTCTTGAAAATAATGTCGTTTGATCATTCTGAATCACTTGTTTATAACAAATTAAGTAAGATTAATGAAATATATTAAAGAAATAATTTTAGTCACAAAGCTTCTACTGATTACAGGAATTTTATTGTTATTTCAAACAATATTTCCATATTTTCAACTGGAATAAATTTTGTATTTCAAAAATAACCCATAGTACCTTGACAGTTATTAAATTTACTTACTTATGAATTCCTGAATATGTACTTCTTTTTTTCTCTTTTCTTAAAGCTTCTGCTTCATCTGAAAGTTGATTATATAAAGCAAAAGCAGACATCTCATTTTTTCTTCCAAGTGGAGCCAACTAAACAAATGAAAAAAATGCATTACTAAAATAAATAGTAAACAGCAGTAACAAACAAATTACTACTTACTTTAATCTCTTCAGGTTGTTTTGCAGTATACTTAATATTTCCTTGTATTTTTTTAAGATCATGTGTAGCTATTGTTGCCAATGTTCTTTTTTCACAGACAGTATCATGTAATTTTGTCTAATTAAAATAAATTATGAAGTATTTTTGACAAAAACTTTAAAATAATTAAATCATATATAACAATAAAATAATGTAGGATATTTAAACTTATTAACACTTCATATAAAATTATTAATACAAAAATGATTTTTAATTAATTTTCAAATTCCAACATTGTGCAATATTGTGTATAAATGGACCTTTCATATCAAAGTGTATTTAGCTTAAAACCCCATTTTCACACAACATACAATATCTCGAGACAGTAAATATATACAAATAAATGTTCATAAATTTAAACTAGATTAATAAATCTCATTTACATGCTACAATTACAAATACACTGAGCAAACTTTTACCCTGTTAAAAATTCTTATCAAAATTTATTAAATGAATAATGTACTGTATTTATTCGCATATAAGACGAGGAGTGACTAAAGATCAAAATAAAGAAAATTAGATTTATTAATAAAATTTTAATTTTATTTCATTTAATCACAAGTAAAATATCAAATGCACGTAAATGCACACACTGTCCTGCAAAAAATACTGGCATTTTAAACTTCAAGGAAAAATCTTGTAAAATCGACAACATAATTTTTTCATGTAAAGCTGGACAATCGGGAACTTTTTTGTCAATTCTTAACAGTCAAATCCACTCTCTATCAATTACACTTATGAGTTTCTCTGAATTCTAATTTCTGAATAATCATCTGTTTTCACGTGAGAATGAATTAAAACTTATATCCAGCTCCTGTGTGATTTTGGAATTCAATTCAAAAGCTTTGCTTTCCCTATTGCTATTCATCTTTACTTCTGACAATACACAAGAATAATTCAAACAACCCAGATAAAATACTTATGTTTTTAAATACAAGAGGGTAAGCATCTGGTTAAAAATGCAAATACATGGTTCACAAAAATTATTTGCAAAAACACAAAGAATCTTTTGCTTGCACATATAGGACAACCTAGATTTTTGAAGCAGTGAAAAATGAATAAAAACCTCATCTTATATGTGAGTAAATACAGTATATTCAATTCTCCTGTTTACAATTAAAATATATTTAAATTTACTTTTTAAGTAATAATTACTTGAAAATGTTTAAAAATTTCATAATTTAAATGTCATTTACTTATTTTTATTTCTAATCTGTTGTTATATATTGTTAATATATATTTTAATATACAATAAAATTGTATATTTATCATTAATATTTAATTTAAGATAATTTGAGTTTGTTTATCCTTATGTACTGAGTTAATATGAAACTGAAAAGTTATCAAAATTTATTAATAAATTTATAGGTGTTACTTTGAAACTAAATGTATCCTAGTCTATCATGTATATATATATATATACACATACATGATAGACTAGGATATATATATATAGAACAGTATATGCACATACATACACTGTGTGTGTGTGTGTGTGTGTGTGTGTGTGTGTGTGTGTGTGTGTACAATATTCTCAAAAAATTAATTTATAATTT